TCCCTCATTTAACAAATGCTCAGTGTTAATTTTACTAACAGACTATTTTCGATGTCGGATGAATTTGAACATCCACCTGATTCATAATTTGTTTCCATTCACCATTCTCCGCATGCAACAAAAGAGAAAAAAAAGTTTGACGTATGGAGTACGGAATGACGCTGTTAATAGTGACAGCTGATACGAAATATAACCGTACGGAAATATATAATATCTGTTCAGGTTCAATTAGCGTTCCAAAACCACGTAAGACGTAACACTGTGTGTGATTTTGTCTCTATGCTTTTCTCTGTATTATTGTCTGTATCTCTGTGTCTGTCCGAATGTGTGTTTTCTGGTCCGTTCATCTGTTCGTTTTTCAGTCAGTTGGGTCGTTTGCCTTAATGCAAGCAGCAAGCGGCAGCCGCCGCAACAGAAACACTGAGTGTAAGGGGCAGTCGGCGTTACGTATATAAAAAAATTCGCTGTTGGCAAATAGTCATTTCTTTTGGTAGTGGTGGCATTAGGGGGGCATATAGGGGATGCGTGTGGGGCGAAGGGGAGGGAAGGGGAGCTGGAGCGGAGAAAGGGAGTATTTGGAGTGCAGTTGTTCTTCGGTTCAAATTTTTGGTTGCATGTGTTGTTGACTTTGTTTTTGCTGTCCTCTTCGTCGTCTTGTTGTCGGAATAATCGTTGAAGGAAATCTACTTCAGTAGCTGTGTTATTCTTTGCTCTCGTTTGTTGGTGTTCTTAGTTAGTTGGCTTTTAAACGATGACGACCTTAGTAGCACTTACGCTTATGCTAAATGCCAATTTTTCTTGACAATATTTTTATTCGAATTCTCGACCAGAGCAAAATACGGTCCAATCATTCGTTGGCATCTCAGATGTTTGCCTCGGGTTTCGATTTTTTCTTTATTTTCACTTTGTAGTAATGCGATCTCATTTTTTTAAAATTCTTTTCACAGCTTCTCAATATTAGTTGTAAGAAAAGCTTGTCTGTTTTTTTTTTTTTGATATGCTTTATATTTAACAGTGTTTAATGTGCGGTATATAATGATGGCAAATGATGAATTTATGACTCTGATTTATATTTGTGTGTGAATAGATTTTTTTTTTTTTTGTGCGGTAATGGATATATATAATTAGTGTCGCATTCTTCTTGTTTCATTTTTTTTTTTTTTTTTCAATCGCTGCTGTTGCTTTTGCTGTTTAAAATGCTGTACATTACAACACGTAATACAGAAATAAACACATTTTTGATGTTAAAGCAAAAAGAAAGGAAACCGTGATTATTTGCATATGTTTATTTGTTTATTTATTCACTTATTTATTTATTTTTTTGCAGATAATATTTGTTTGAAACTGCTATCGCACGAAATAGTCAAACTATCAGCCATGAATCGACCAGTTCTGTCGTTAGTCTTTTCCAGTAAATCTAACAAGGTATGTGAGTGGTTTGTTTGTCCTTTCATTTGTGGTTTTTATACTTTTAAATGTTATGTATGCGCTTGCAAGTAAAAACTCTCATTTTAATTTTTTTAGCTGCTATTCAAATATCTGAAATAAAAAAACAATCAGTAATACCAGCGAAATGAGATAACAGATTTTGTTTCAATTTCCCGCTGTAAAAATTTGGTCTTCCAAGTCCGTTTAAAAATTTTGGCAGTTTGCTCAATTTGTTTATTTTTCTGCCTCTCAACTTTTCGGGGATTCTAACGCTTTTTAATATTTTCCTTTTTCTTTGACCTCTTTTCCGGTTTTATTTTACAAAACTAATTTAGATGAATAAAGATTGTGAAGGGTCTTTTTTTTTCACTTACTTGAGAAAGGTGGTTTAAATTTTTTTTTTTGTGTTTCTACACGTTTTATTTAAAAGCCTAAATTGACGACTGAATTGTTCTAGGAAACGAATGTTTTGCACATTTATGGAGGTACTTTAGTATTTTTAAGGTTTTCGGTACTTCACGAACGTTTAAATGACGAGTCACCTTAGCTTAAATGATTTTTTTCCGCTTAATCTTTTTTTTTCTAGTTTGACTCTTCATTTGGTCGCTAAATAACTTGTACACCGAATTTTCTCTAAAAAATTTTTTGGTGGATACAGTGCATTTTTTTTTTAGGTGCCGCTTTATTTGATCACATCTGTTATCACTTTGGAAGTTAGAGTTGTGAAATGATTACAAGATTTGACCCTTTGTTAACTTTCGGAAGTATTTTAAGATATCTGGTTTGTGCACAAATCTTAGACAAATGGCGGGAGCTCTTCGTTCCTATTCAACCGAAATTCGTCAGCAAGAACCGATAATTGTGTTTGTGGATCAAAAGAATTGTTGGTTTTTCCACTTTTTTCATCTTGTGTCGCCTTTCTCGGTGAATATTATCTAATTTTGTTGTTGTAGTCAGTATTGTAAAAACATCAGTAGGAATTTTTGACCTTCAGTATTTGTAGCTCGGTCGAAGTGGCAAAAGTTGTTCGCTCTAGATAAAAAATATCCGTTTCCTGGAGGAGTAACTTCAAAAGCTGCATACGAAAAGGTAACGTTTACCTCGGAATAAATTCCTCGAAAATTGAAATTGAAGCGACTCACTTTTATTCATTTGGTAATGGTATTGTCCCGTGATATCTGCTTTAGGCTCATATTCTTACCTTT